GTAATTTTGTGTGTTTTCGATGTCTCAAAAATTCAGTTAAAATGAATAGGCACTATAAGGGAGTATAGTGTGGGACAATGTGACTTTGTTGTTTTTGAAACATGTTTTTACTTATTTGTCCTGCTTACATCTCTTTTTCTCACAGACTATTGCTCTTTCCCCTCTGAGTTTCTTTTGAAACTTCCAGGCAGGAGAGAAGTGGCATGCAGCAGTATATGTGGTAGAGAATGTCTCTAGCTTTACAATTTGTAAAGTTAGTTAGGTTTTTTGTTTGTTTGTTTGTTTGTTTGTTTTCCAGACTGTTTTAAACATTGTTGTCATTTCTCCCAGTTACTTTGTTAATGCATTTTGCTGTGTACCCATTCCTCCCAGTTTTTCCATTTGTGGATAGAAAAGTAGATGCCTATAAAGATACTGTCTATTATTTTAGTAGACCTAATTTCAGTTTAGACCTGCTTTCAAAACAAAGGAGTAGAACAAAATGTGCAGCTGTTTAGGAAGGCTTATAGATACCCCATTTTTTATTGCAAACTCTTCAGTTTCTTAAAGGAAAGCTCATGCCATAGAGACTGAGCTTGAAACTTCTAAGGTATTTGAAAGATTGCTCTAAAATTCATAACTCTTGTAGTTAGTGACCAGCTTGAGTGTGGCAGCAAGAAAAGATACTTGTCAGACCAGAAATTTGCTTTACGCTGCTTTCTATCCAGTGATGTCAGCCTTCTCATATGTGTTGGTTACCCTTTTCCCCTTTCCTGGGCATCCGCATCCTGCTGCCCTTTGATTGTGTACTGGAGAAGCCCATGTGCTAAGAAAGCAGCAGGAATTGGTATGGCATTATATAAAAGGAAGAAATATCTTTTCCTGCTGTGAGTTTTTTTTTTTCCCTCTTTTCCCTCACCCTAACTCACCTCCATGCACCCCTTTTCTTATTGGGGCTTTTTTTTTTCTTTCTCTTGGATAGGTGTGTAACCAGGAACTCTTAAAYGTATTTTAAAGGAAGTGTTAATTTCTTTGCACAATAGGGAAGTAAGCTTGCATTGTTTACCAAGTGGTCAGAAGATGCAATAAGTGAGGAGTTTTACAATAAGCTTGTGTTTTCCTGCAATAATAATTTCTCTTCAGGAAAGTGTGAAGTGTCTTAGTGTTTTTTCTCTCATTTTTGGGTGGTGGCAGAAGACGTTTTGAATTGGCTCCTAAAAGGGCATAAAAAAAGTTGTGGATGCCTTTTTAGGAATTATCTCTGTGCTGAGGAGCAGAACAGGTAAGTGTGCTCCTCACTGCTTGTGGCTCGGGACGTTCAACCCTTCTCCTATCGTTTTATGGGGCATATGTTTCCAGTTTGTGCCAGTGCAGAACAACGTAGGTCTGCATGAATGTGCAGTTACTTATTGCTGTAAAGACACAACTTGGAAGTGCTGAAGGAAGATGTAAGGAAACAGGAGAATTTTCTCCCTCTTTTGCGGTTGTTTCCTCTTTCCATAGCAGTGGTTTGCTGTCCAGCTCATCTAGCCATTGGGATGAAGCTGAAAAATAATCACTGTGCTTAGTTGCAGTGCAAGATAAACTGGTTCATTTTAAGGTAGTTATTTAAGCCAAGTTGATTGGCATGATGAATTTAAGAAATGCTTCCCTGTTTGCTTAATGTTAAGGTTGGAGTATAAGGAGAAATAGTAAGGAACCGTGTGGAAGGAAATAGCATCCTTTTGCTCCTGCAAGAGGATGTCATGTGAATTTGCTTAGTATTCCAGCACAAGGATGCTAGCAAGCACCAAGTGAGCTGCGGTATCCAAAATCCTCTACCTAGATATATTCAGAGCCTTGCTAGTGTCGGTGAGTTGGAAGGAGGGACACTAATTAAAAACTCTAGTGAAAAATGGATTTGCCAAAATTGTTCAATACTTTCTCAAATTATGGGTGAAGGCCCATAATTTCTAGAGTTTTTGTGTAGCAAAAATGTGATGGTACTAGGTTTGAACCAAATTCTGTGCAGCATTCATGGCAGTGTAGGTCAGTTGAGCATTATGCAAGAACTTGGCTTTTACTAAGTAACCTCTCTGAAACAAGCTGTAAAGTGAAATACAAAGTTACTGTATTTAATTCAGTGTAATTGTAAGAGTGGACTCCTGCTTGTCTAGGACTGCGTCATCAGGAGGTAGTGAGTTTGCAGAGCTCCTCCATGAGAGCTCCAGCTTGGTGGAGATCCTGGTGACAGGACCCAGCCTCTTTGGTTTTCATAATTGCAACCATTTCCTGGAGCTTTTGTTTTATATACCTGAAAGAATATGTAACTTACTTTGGCATTTTTAAAAGAGCGTAGTGTAGGCGTGGGTCAAAGGGAAGTGGCAAACGCTGATTGTGGGTGGAGAAAGTAAAAGTATTTAACTTGAACAAACTGAGATGAATGCAAGTTTGCGCAGAAATGTGGCATTTATAAAATTCAAGTTCCTTCTTGCTCTCCCTTCCCCTCCTCCCCTCCCCAGCCAAGTAACTGCACTGTTCCCTAGGGCATTACTGGTTTTATGTATACTGCAGCATTTGTGTTTGTGTTTTGGTGCTATCCGAAAGTTTCCACATACACTGTGGAAGGGGTCAGAAAAATCAGTAATTTGAGACAGATTATCAGTAGATCTCAATTTAATAGACAAAAATAAAAGAATGAAAATATCATTCTTTCAGTTACAGAATTTCGAATGACACAAAAAGAGGAAAGAACATGTGGAAATAGCTACCCCTGTTGTAATGAAAAGCTATATGCTATTTTTTGATCATGCTAAATATCTTGTTGTGATTGAATTGCTTCATTTTTATTCTGTATTGGGAAAGATATTGGTTCTGCAGGCAGCTTTCCACCCTTCACTAGAGTTTGTGCTTGAATGGGATTCTTAGAATTGCAGTTAGCAAAATGATGCTTACAAGGGAGGTTTAATGCTTTGTAGTATATAAACCCAAATACTTTTGAAGTGTAACATGAGTGCTTTCTGTGTCTGCTCTAATGAACAACTTTCAATTACAGTTGCTTTTCCCTTTAAAGTGGCAGCAGTGTTAAGATGAAGCCTTAGTAGATAAGCAGTGGCACAGTCATTCTGGATTTAGTTTATATTGCCGGGCAATCTAAAGGCTTATTAAGTGTGTTTCACATTTTAGTCAGAGCTACATATAAAAGCTGCATCTGAAAACCTTTTAAGCAAGCCTTAGAGATTTGCCATCCATTTATGGTAAGTCTTTGACTTAGTTGAAAAGCTCCTTTTCTGTTTAAGCTTTTAACCTTGCTTCTGAAACCTAAACATTGTGTGAGATTTTACTATTGGGAGATATTTAATTGAGTTTAAGAGCATGTGGGGTGAAAATAAAATGCATGACAGTTAAGTTTGAGAGCAGAGGATTAGGTTTATGGAATGTTTTCACAAAGCACAGAAGGGAGACGGGTGAAAATTGATTTGCGGCGAGGAACAGGTGCAAGGAGCACAGGGAGCCGCAGGGGATTCGGCATAATTTTTGCAGAGGGGGCTGTCTACTCCAGTTAACATCCTGGAGCCTTTATCCACATTGTGTGTACATCTGGAGTTCCATTGTGTCCTCTGAAAAGGAGAGCCAGCCCCTTGAGCGAGGACAACAGCACTTGCCCTGAAACAGTGAAGTATCAGATTTTGCAGCATGTGAGACAAAAGGCTCCTTTGCTGCTTCTGGGAATAAGATTACAGTTGTCGTGTTTCTCCTTCACCAGTGTGCCTGGCACTTCAGAGTAGAGCTTTAGACTTCCTTTTGCTAATGGGAGAGAAAGAGGATCTTTATGGCCTTTCCTCTTTGGTAGTTCTTATTTTTGTAAATCATTTTGCTCTTTAATATGCATGATTTCTTCTTAAGCTCAGTCAGGATTTAGGTAGAAGGTCAGGTTTCTGTTAGCTGAAACTTCAGCAACCTTCTTAAAAAGCCTATCTTTAAGAAAGATTGATTTAAAAAAAAAAAAAAAAAAGGCCAAATTTGTGAGTACTCCTCAGAATACAATGTAGCTGGAACAAAGCTTGAGGAATAAGTTTATGGAGTTTTGGATTGAATTAAACCAGGGAACTGTGGTAGGTTAAAGCTGTTGGGCCAAGGGGGGTTGGGGGATAATATCTATAGCAGATTTTTCTTCATGGTGGCTCCATAAATAGATGGAGCCAGGATAGTAGAAATTGAAACAAAAATAATGCCCTATTCCAGCTGATGAGCGTGAAAATCTGGAACGGTCACGTTGCTTCCAGGCTTGGCATCTCAGCCCAGCTGTCTTGGCCAGGAGATGAGCAGTGAGGCTGCTGAGTGAGGATGCGTGTGAGCTGCTCTAAGGATCCTTCCAGACACATCTTCATTGGCAACCAAATCCTGCTGCGAGCGGTTTGGAGCTTGCGGGCTCTATCTGCCTCCTGCACTAATTAGAAATTGCATCAGAGTGGAAAAGCGAATATAAATGAAGTGGTGTCTGGTACTCCTATTACTGCTTTTCAGTACTTCCCATATGAAATGAAGACTTCTCTTTCAGCCTCTTCAATGGAAGAAAACAATGAGGAGTTTGTTCAGCTTCTGCGTGCAGAAGAAATACATTTAAGCATTCTTTGCATAGCTGTGGGCGAGAGGGGGTTGCTGGATTTCTCATTGTTCAGAGAGTCAGTTCTTAATCTCAGAATACAAATTAACTGTAAAGACACTCAATTAAAAATACCTASTGGAAATGCTGAGAAGTGGCATGTGCTCTGCTGGGTCCCTGTATCAGCTTGTTCTGATTTTAATTTGGCTAATGAAATTTCGTGTATTGTTGCTTTGCTGTCTTACACCACAGCGGATGACGAGTAGCTAGTGTGTGACTGGTGCTACGGTCTGTTGGGAGAAAGCACGTGACTTGAAATTGATTTTTTTTGTGTGTGTGTGTTGTGTGTACTGCCATGTACTCTCCATTGTGAAAACCTCATATATATATTTATTTTCTTTTCCCTCCTCTGTGTGTGTGCGTGTGTCTGCTCCAGTGACTTTGTAACATGCAAGACRCTGATCCCAGGGGGAGCTCCCCTGCTTTCCTTCGGCCCCAGAACGGCAGCAGTCACAGGTCGTCCGGGTACATGCCAGGCAGGATCGCCCCTCTTCGCCCCCCGCCGCCCTCGCAGAGCCACGTTGCCGCCGAGTTTACCTCCGCACGACAAGAAGCACGGGCCACGTTTGCATCGTCGCCAGCCGAGCRGCGCCGCCGCCGCGCAGAAGCCAGCAGGCACAAAAACACGCTCATTTGCTTCGCTGTTTCCAGCTTTTTGCTTTTTGTTGCACTGGGGATTTTTTTGGGAATAGCTTCAAAATATGCTCCAGATGGTAAGTTCTTGTGCAAACAAACTCACCCTAGAAGTTAAAGTCCCTGTGAATGTAATTCAATGGTTCAACATCAGAAGAGTGTTAAAGGTTTAGCACAAAAATTTGATAGTCGTCGTAATTTTAGCCTGCAGAAGGCAGCAGACCTTGAGTGTTTTTCAGCTACTTTTTCTGTTACTGGTGTCACTTTCTAATATGTTTTCCTTATAAATAATTTGATTTGCTTGAAGGAAAAATGTATAGCAATAAATAAAGATGATGGGGGAAGTATGTGCTTAATAGGTGTAGTTGTTTTTGTATATCAGAGAAGCTCCCTGATATTTTTTGAAAATAGGATACAGAATGAGATATGCATTATTGAGCAGTAAGTAACTAGAGAAGATGGTAAAAATATCATTCAAGTAAACAAATTGGACAGGCAGCTCTTTGTATCAGCGCAGATTTTTAGCTGAACGACCTTCAGGGAATTAGCTATATGGGGGAGATAAATGTGCCTGTGGCAAAGAAGCATGAGCAGATGATCTTACTATGTCTGGCAATTAGCTAGACATGCCTCTGGCAAAATACTGCTAAGGCTCATTATGAGGTGCATCTGGTAAAGTCTGGCAGTATATTTTGGGGAGTGGAGTGTCTTTTTTTTTTTTTTTTTTAGGTTTGGAATCACATTTCCAGAAAATTTTCTAATTTGAAACTGATTGGCAATTACTGTGTGGCACTGAAGGCTTATCCTCTTGAATGACTTCTGATATAGTAAAGCCAAATATGCTTCCAAAGTCAAGGCAATGCATACCTYTACTGGGACAGGATTTGTGGTGGGTTGCAGAGAACTCTTCTTGGGTGAAGTTAGAGGACTTGCTTGTATTTCCCTAACAGCTGGGCAGGAAAACAGGAAATTGAGGAAGTGGTAAATGGCAGGTTCTTGCTACCTTGTGACCTGGGTCACTGCTGATGTGGGTACAGGTTGGCAGCGAGTACTCCAGCACAGCCACATGCAGGAGAGCTAATGGTGGGTTAGTCAGCCGACTGAGAAAGGCCTTGGGAAGAAAATCTTCCCATTCTGATATCCAGCCATTTAGGCTTGCCTGTTGCTAGTTAAGTAAAAGTTGCAGGTATTGAGGATATTTTAGTACAAGAGGTGAGGTTCTATTATGTGTTGTGGACTACTCTAAGCAGTAGCCCCTTCATGCTTTAAAATCTGCTGAGGTGAAAGAGGTAGTTTCCCCCCGCCTTTTCTTAATATAAATGTTTTTGGCATATGTCGGCATCATTTGTAGCAGTTTATTCCTGAATTGTACAGTTCTTTTGCACTGAATGTTTAGGTAGGGTTACCACATGTTTGACGGATTGTCAAAGATACTTAGGATGTTGCAAGAAGAGTTATTGTTATTTGTCAGATAACTTATTTTTCTTYTTTTTTTTTTTTTTTTCTTTTGTCCACTGTGACTGTAAGCACTAAGGAATAATGACTGCTTTTCAATATCCCATTGCTCCCCTATGGAAATTCATCCGTTTTTCAACACTAGTAGTTATATTGTGTCTTTCTGAGTTTCCTCTGCATTATCTTTAAAAGAAAAAATATGAACTCTTTGGAAACCTTAACAAAAGAGAAAGGAGAATTTGACAGGTGGGAAATTTAATCTTGTGGTACTGCAATTGCAGTGGCTCCCCAGGAGACAGGTGGGAATTTTCATTCCCGCAGCTGAAACCCAGCAGGTGCAGTATTAAAGTTAAGGAAAACAGTTCCAAAGAGGTGAAATCTCACAGAAGAGTGATCAGAAATCCATATCCTTGATATTTTTGTGGCTATTTTGTCTAACAGGCCATAGGGTGAACATGAGGTTTGATACCAATTGCCTATAAACTCTAACCCTCAAGGCATACATTGTCAGCAGGGAGAATGATGCTTGTCTGTGTTTCTGAGCCCTCTTCTCCACTGGCTTCTTTCTTCTCTCTTGTTTCCTGCTCTTGTTTCATCTTCAAGTTGGAGACCACTGGGGGCACTGAAGACCATGGAGAGTGCTGGAGACTATATGGAGACTTTGGAAGGTGCTGGAGACCATGGGGAGTATAGGAGACCATAGAGAGTGCAGGAGATCTTGAAGGGTGCTGGAGACCATGGCAGGAGTGCTAGAGACCTTGGAGGATGCTGAAGACCCTGGAGGGCTGGGGGAAGACTGTGGGGAAGTACTGGGGACTTTGGAGAGGACTGAAGACCATGCAGAGTGCTGGAAACCATAGGGAAATGTTGGAGGGTGCTGAAGACATTGGGAAACCTGGAAGGTGCTGGAGACCATGAGGCACACAGGAGACCTTGGAGGTACTGGAGACCTTGAGGGCTGCTGAAGACAATGGGGAGCGCTGGAGACCTGCAAGGCACTGAAGACCATCTGGGGCACTGGAGACCATGGGGAGACCCTAGAGAGTGCTGGAGACCATGGGGAGTGTTAAGAGTCCTTGTATAGCACTGAAGAGTGTGGGAGGCACTGGAGACTATGGAAGTGCTGGAGACCTTGGAGGGCTCTGGGGAGGCTTTTTCTCCTCTCTAGGCCCCAGCCGGGTGTACAGCATGGCCAGGGTTGCAAGGAGGAGAGGGTGTTCTTGAGGAGAGCTCTGCTTGGATGTTGTGGGCTTGGCTGGAGCTTGCCCAGGGTAAACAGGATCCTCAGAAGACATTGCTGCCAAGTTGTGATAAACTTCTGTTGAATATAATATAACACTGATAATTTTTTCCCCGAGGCCTGGAAAACTCCAGACTTGATGGCTAAGCAGGTAGAAAGCAACTATTTAACTGCATGTTGAGAACTGTTTCCTGCCTGTTCTCCTGCCAAATTTCATATCCTTGCTCCAACATGTGGAAGGTTCTAGATTTTTTTTTTTCTTTTTGGCAATGTTAACCACTTGAAAGAAAAAGTGGTATTTTTGTCTTTTTTTTTTCCTCTTTTTTTTCTCCTAGCCGTGTTAGGAGCAACTAGCAGCTGACCCATTTTTTTTGTAAAAATTTACAGAAATGCTCCGAAGCAGAGGCTTGACCTGGAAAGTTTTCAGCCTGAGTGGTTTGGCCAGSCTGTAACTGCCTAACATTTTCCATTGTGTGTTTCTGTTTTCATTTAACCTCAACTGTGGAGGCAAAGACTTCAGACTGTAAAAATCTAATCAGTAACTGTGGAGGTAAAATATGGTGAAGTGTTAAATATATGATGTTCCACTGCAGCCCAGTGGAATTGCTAAGGAAGAATTTCAAAATGCTTTTGCTGAGCACATCCGATTTGTTTGCCAGAAAGTTGATCCRTGTGCTTTAAGAGCCCACTCACATTGCAGTAGTGTCTAGTTTTGATTCTGGTCTGACCGTGTCATCTTTGTTAAAACGCAGTGTGCAATGGAGTCTCCAGGGTGTGGGGTTTTTTTGTGTGTGTGTGTCATTGTTGCTTATTTATAGCGGTATTCCTCATCTTAATGACTCGACAGAAAAAAAGTACAGTTACTAGAACTTACGTGAATCACAATGTAGAAATCGTCGAGTTGCTGACTCATGGGCACATTTCCCTCTGCTGCTGGCCAGGAAATATGAGTTTCTTCACAGCATATGTGTGGGGTGTCTGGGGGAAGGGACTTAGCAATCCTGCATAAATCAGACCTTGAAACTTGTGTTTTCTTTCAGCGGCTGTTCAGCAGTCTTGCAGATATCAATGCTTTTTGACTTCCAGCTATTCCTTGAGTTTAATATATTTTTTAAATGATCTCCTCTGAGGATCCCTTCCCAAAGTTTTTTATTTATTTTTTGTTATGTCTGTGTTACTTCTTCAATGCCTTTTGGCTCTACTCAGTTCTGCTGTTTTTTTTCCTGTTGCCAGTCAAGGTTTGGTTTCTGTGGGTTTCCTGCACTGGAAAGGTTTTGAAATATGGAGAGTAACAGCAAAGGAAATAGCATTTCTATCAGCAAAGTTAAGGTTTGTGCTAAGTGTGTAGATTTTGCCTTCTTTAGATTTTGCAAGAAGGGGCTAGGGCAAAGAAACTAATAGCTTCTTCCACAAGTTGCATTGTATCAGATATGTGGGTATTTATTTCTTCAGAAGATAGGATGTGAAAAAACTGTTCATAGACTCCATGGATGTTTTCTGTTTTGACTGCTACTCATAGCTGGGCTGCAAACCTACTTATTTTGGCATCTCTGGTTATTTTTTACGTTAACAACAACCTTTGTGTTCCTTTTTGTTTCCTTTTTTTTTTTTTTTTTTTTTTTTTTTTTTTTTTTTTTTTTTCCTCCAGTTTGTGTCCAGTGTGTTTGTGCTGCTATATTACAGCAGCAGTTTATGCCATGCCTCTTTTTCTGGCCTTTTTGGTATGACCTTTTACAGGGCTTCAAGAGCAATGGTGGGACTCTGCTTTGCCTGCTCATAGCCTAATGTTTAAGCCAGTTAGGAGTATGAAATTACAAATTTGAACCCACAGTTTCTCACTTCCAAGGAAACCTTCCTGGAGAGTGTTATGAAATATGCCCTGTCCCTATTTCTGAGCTGAAAACCCAACTGAAGGAGTATTTGGGATGCTTAAGAGCCAGAGGGGGTCCAGTCCACCTTCTCTTGCACAGGTGCCTGTGACCTAGAGCAGAGTGGAGTTTGCCAGTGCCCTACAATCGTGCTAGTATTTCGAGTAGGTGCCCTGGGATGTCCCATGCTCAGTGTGACTGTCACAAAAGCAAGCGCTCAGCACTTACGGACCTGAGCTAGATGATCTCCACACCTGATGGATGTAATCAAGACATTCTGGAAAGGTATTAAATTTTGCACTAGGGTTGGAAAGTGTGGTGTATGACAACAGCTGAGTCTGTAATCGGGGACTGTAATTTAATGGTGACAATTACTAGCTCATGCATATTCATCGTAATACTGCCTTGACTTCTGTAGTCCTATTCGTGATGGCTTATTTTTAAAAACTGAATTTCGTTGTATTGCAGAGAATTGTCCTGATCAGAATCCCCTTCTTAGAAGCTGGAGCCCTGGACATGATCCTGAAAAGAGAATTTTTATCAAAAAGGGGGATTTGTTTCGTCTGGATTCAGATGCTACAGTACACTCTATAGTTATACATGATGGAGGTAAGTAATGGCAAGATAAACAAGAAGCTAAAATTGATTATATGCTGCTGCTTATTTTGTGATTATGTGCAAAGTGCTTTGGAATTTTATAATGCAGCTTATGTTGCAGCAGATCCTCTGCTACTAAGACAGAAGCATCAAATAGGAAAAGGATGAAAGAAAGCTCTCATACACTTTTCAGTGGGGCAATCACACAGGTTTTTTTGTAGAATGTAGTAACCAAAGGCTTTTGTAATAGCTTTGTAAATTCTGGATCTGATTATTTTTATGGTGTGTTATCATGGTTGTGAGATATATGATCCTAGGGAATTTCTATGGTGTGTTAGCAATTCTACCAAAACGGGAGGCGGTGAGGGGGGAGGATAAACTCGGCAAATTCGTAGAAAGATGAATCACAATTAGTAGGAACTACTTTCAAAGTATTCTTAAACATATTTAAAAGCTTGCTTACTTATTTCATGGGGGTGGAAATTAAATCTTTTCTAGCTTTTATGTTGATCTTTTTGAAGAACAGACTTCTCTGAGTCTACCTTGATATCACTTTGACTTACAAAAATATGTTTTCCCTTAGGGTTACTTGTTTTTGGTGATGATAAAGAAGGTTCAAAAAATATTACTTTGAGAACTCGTTTTATCCTGATAAAGGATGGTGGAATGCTTCATGTTGGAGCAGAGAAATGCCGCTATAATTCCAAAGCAACTATCATTTTGTATGGGAAGTCAAATGAAGATGCTGATGTGCCGGATTTTGGCAAAAAGTTTATCGGTGTGGGCCCTGGTGGGATGCTGGAATTGCATGGGCACCAGAAGGTATCATGGACTCTTCTCTCAAAGACTATAAATTTCTCAGGGCTGGCCTATGGTCATTATACATTTAAAAAGAATTTTTCCAGAGGACTAAATGTGAGAGTGATTGATCAGGACACAGCAGAGGTTTTGGAAATATTAAGGTTTGATACTCATCAGTTTTCAGAAGAAAGCTTGAAACTCGAGAACTTACTAAAAAAAGGAAGTCCTGGTCGCATTGTTGCTATTGCTGTAGGAGATTCAGCTGCTAAAAATCTACTGAAGGAAACTAGATTGACTATTCAAAATCTTCTGGGGAGTAAGTTTGTCACAGGACTGAGTTACAGGTAAATATTTCATTTTATGTTTTGTATCGAGTAAAGTTTAGATAGACCTTGTACCTTCTTTGGGGGATTTGTCAAAATTTAACAGTGTCTTTCCTTAAAGTCTTTTAAGAATTGATTGTCAGCGTAGTGTTTTGATACAGTTAACTACCAGTCTCTGCAATATCTGTATGACAGGCTTTTATCAAACTGCTCAGTGCTTTCTATCCGTGCTCATACATGGTTGAAAGCAAAGTGTGTTACTCTTTCACTTCATGAAAACTGGTCTACAAAAATATTTTCTTACTGAAATACATTTGTAAGGTGTTCTTATAGCTTTTCCTGTTCTTTTAATTCAGTCTCTAGAGGCTCAAATATTGAGACAAATAATAAGATAAAACACTGCAGGTATAACGAGTTATAAGTTTAATGCAAGGTCTTGAAAGACAAAGCTTAAAATTACCATGTTGTTCTCTGTTATCCTAAATGACTCCCTGCAGTGTGTGTTCTGACTGTGGCTTGCTGCTGTACAGGTTGACAATAGGTGTGAAAAGGACATCAAATTGTCCCACTGTTCACCACTCTTACAGCCTCCGTAAAAGACAGTTTTGTATAACCTCTTTTTGTTTTCCAGAAAATCAGTATCTTAGATTTTCTACTCTATTTTTACTCATTGCTATCCCTGAAATCTGGCTTCTTGTTAGTTTTCCTTCCTCTGCTTTGGCAAAGCACTATCAGAATATTAGTCACGATTACGTATTGCAACTTTGATTCTCATTAGAAACATGTTCTTAAAAATAGCTTTATAAAGATGTGTTTCTGTGGAAAGTGCTTTTGAGTCTGCCTCTTAAGAGTTTCATTTGAGATAGAGAGACCTACATGGCCCCTTCTGAGAGCTGAAAACACCATGTGAAAGTGGTTCCTTTTTCAGTACCGTGTGCAACCTGCCCTCATCTGGATGAGGAGTTCTGGTGTTCACGTAGGTCTGTGACTGCCACAGCAGTTAATCTGAAATGAGGAGCTTCCTTAACCTACTGCCATGAAGTAGATAACAACAATAATAATAATAAAGTTATCATTATTATTAATTTTCTGCTTAACTGGGTCCTGTCCAGTTTTGTTAGTATTAAGAGACTCTTTAAACACATAAAATCGTATTTTTCTGCTCTGTAGCAGAAAATGGACAAGCCACTTATTTCTTGACAGTCAGCAAGGAAGAGCAAGATAGTTTTGTTAAACGTGTAAAGCTGGTAGAGTTCAGCATGATGGTAAATACCATATGATGTCCTTCTCCACTTCTGTCTCTTCATCCAAAATAGGACAAATTAAATTATGTGTTATTTATTTTAAATGTTAATTTATGGAAAGTACAACTTGTTTACTGATACTATGGAAAAAACATGCCTAGTATGTATTATTCTCAAAATATGTAAAACCAAACAATTTAATTTGGCCTTTTAGACATAATCATTAAGAAGAATACAAGAAGACTGAAGTAAAGGTATCTAGATTGAAGATGATTTTAGTATATGCAGTGGACTAAGTCCAGCTGTCTGACCCTGTTTTCCTTTGATTCAAACCTTAATGATACTTTTTTTTCCCCATTATAGTTACAGCATATGGAGCAGTCAAAGGCAACAAAATACTGTAATTTTTCAATTTGATGGCAGCTTTCAGCACCACGCAGTCCATTTTCCATTTTCAAAAACTTGGATGCATTGAGCGGAGCTGTAGGGAAGTGGAAACACATCAAGGACAGTTCCCAGCTTCCCGCCGGCACTCAGCCAGGATAACTGTCCAGCTGAGGAAAGGAATAGGGGAGGGAAAAAGTGAAATCCCTGGCCTCAGCCTTCAAAAAACCTCTGCAATCACTCATCCAAAGACTTTTTCTTTTTTTTCTTTTTTTTTTTTTTTTTAAAGTGAGTTTCCCAAAATATTCACAAGCTATTTCCAGCTAACACCCTGCTCCCCAGCAGCTGTGCTGGGTGCATGTGTCAGTCCCAAATCCATGCAAGGAGGCCCTGGGGACTCTTGCAGGAGCGTCGCTTCCAGGCAGYGCTGACAGCACTGCCTCCGCTCTGCCCCGCTCCAGGAAACCTGGACGTTTGTAAGCAGGAGCCAGAGCTGCATCTATCTCTCATCCCTTGGGATTTGGTTTTGCTTTTCCTTAAAAGAGAAAAATGTATCTTCTTGGACAGTGTACAAAAAAACGTACCTGAAAGGCTTATTGTCTAAATGAAGAAATCTCATAGTCATCAGTCTGTATGTAGAACATCCAAGTGTTTTAAACTGTTTTTCCTGTAGGTACGTCATTTTCTTCTACTGCTTTTTAAATTGAGTCTGGGAGAGCAGACAGGAAGGTTATAAATGCCTTCTGTGTTCCTTGTCTTGTCCTGTGCCTGTTTGTGAACAGTTTGCTGGAGGATATTACATTTAAATATTTACTTTGGGTTGTATTTCTCTTCTCTCTCCCCCCCCCCCCCTTTTTTTTTTTTTTTTTTTTTTTTTTCTTCAGGCAAGCTTGGGCTTTAGTTGGTGTGATAGGTGGTGGAAACTCTTCATGTAATGAATCAGTGAGAAACTACGAAAATCACAGCACTGGTGGGAAAGCTCTTGCTCAGAAGGAGTTTTTCACAGTGGATGGTCAGAAGTTTGTTGTGAGAGCGTACAGTGAATGGAACGATGGTAGGAGACCTTTTGGTGGGCCGGGGAAAAATAAGAGTCTGTATGTGCTTTGTTTTTTTTTCATTAGAATTGTTAGGTGCAATTCTAATTTCTGATCTTCTGTGAGTTTTGCTTTTTTTGCCACACAAGTAGCCTGGCTACTAATTCTAATAAATCACTAAAATAGTTACTTTGTTTCTTTTAGCAATGTCAGTCATATATTTTAAATTTAAGCTTCTGAGATGTTAATTATGATCCTAAACAGAAAACTGTACAAGCCAAGAGTAAAGATTAATCTGTGTCATGAGTTTCTATTCTTTGTAATGGTGAACTTCAGTTGTCATCAGCTTTAAGCAACTTTTTTTCAAAGCTAATTCTATGGTATAAAGAGCCTGTAAGATCTACTCATTTTGTTTTTATCCTTTAGTTGTTTTTCAAGACCTTTGATATGAGTTTTGTTGTTTATGGTCAGTCATCTTTTTTGCTTCTGGAATTACTGAACAATATTGTTTTGGCTCCTAAGACTTTTTAAGTTATTCCAATGCATGTCTTTAAAGCAGATGAGCTATATTCACTATACTTTTTACTGTCCTTGCGTTGTTTGTTATGGCCTTATGCAGTCATATTGGCTCACATTTAAAAACAAAGCAAACCTAGCCAAAATAAATCTTCTGCTTACTGGTACTATAAAGGTAGGCTCTGTTGTAAAGATAGGCTGACTCTGATTCAGTTCTTATTTAATAAATAAAATGTTAGAAATGTTGAACTTGGGCGAATGCATCAGAACACAGTGAAATCGTGTGTGTGTGTGTGTGTGTGTGTGTATGTATGTGTCTGTGTGTGAGATGTAGCCTGCCAGACCATTTTTAGTTGTGTGTAAAATATATCTCCTTGCTTTGGTTCACCAACTCCTTGTTTACATCTGCAAAGTTTAAAAATGCAAAACCATATCAGTTTAAAAACACAGAGCTAGTTGGAACTACAAATTTTTGCTGTCTGAAATATCAAGTTTTTAACGGATTTTACTGATGCTTATTTTTACTGATACTTTAATTGATAATATTGATAGCTTTTGCTATCACAGTCAATTCCATCTCTTCCCTTCTTATTTAAGGTCCTCCAGATAAGGAGATTGTAGTGGTATTTCACATTTGTTACAAATTTCTTATTAGATAGAGTTTAACCATCTTCTTGAAGATTATTTCATATAGAGATCAATATAATGGCTTATTGAATTTACTCCCTTTTTCCCCATTCTTATCAGGTGTCCCAATCTCGGGCTTCCAGGTGGAAGCCGTGGGTGGAGTGATCCTGAATCTCCTGGATGACGTCAGTAGCTGGGAGCCTGGAGATCGGATCGTCCTTGCAAGCACAGACTATTCAATGCATCAGGCAGAGGAATTCACTCTGCTTCCCTGCCCAGAGTGCAGCAAGCACCAGGTCAAAGTCAAAGGTATGGGAATGGTCAGCATTTCCCCGCTCTTGTGAGAGATACGTGGCGTCAGTCCAAGCAGCAGGACCTCAGCAGGAGCAGCTTGCTTGCCTTGGTGCCATGTGCAGGAATGTATGCTTCCCCTCACTATAAAGTTGCTCTGTATGATGTTGGATCTGTCTCTGACCTCTTAATACTTGTCTAATAGTCTTTCTCTTGCCCTTCTTCCCACGATCAGTGAATACTTTAGTATTCATCCAAGAATGGGTTGTTGTYTTGGCTGCTTTGTGTCATTTCGCTAATCTACTTAATACGTTTGCATTGTTTTGCTGTTTTGCATTTCCTTCACCTCTAGTGCTCTTCCAATCTTCCAAAACTTGTCATTAATTTTTCTCTTTCTATGAAAGGCAGGAGGGGGACGAAGGAGAAAATGGGAGTCTTTAAATCTGTCTTGTCACTTCCTCAGTTTTCACATCTGCTTTCCTCTCCCTGCAGTTATGAGAAAAAAGGCACCACAAAGCTTGCACCCGCACAGGATATCGCAGGCTAGCTGCAGTCTGTTTTCTCTTTGGGCGTGATGCACACAGAGCGATCCTGCCTGTTTTTGCCCGTTTCCCTTTTCACTGTGACTCATGCTGCTTGACTTCATGGCAGCTCCCAGGGGATCGACTCCTCCGCTGTGTGTCTTCTCCTTCTACTACCCTGCTCACCCACCATGCAGAACCTGATGGGTTCAGAGCTTGGGCCTTACTCCCTTCTCGCGGTCTTCGCTTCCTTCTCATGGTCTTCGGGGCTAGCTACCTCTTAGCAAGCTGCTTCACCTTCTGCATCACTGCCCCTCTCCTGTCTTCCTGGAGATGTGGGTTTTCCCACACCTCTCTAATGTGCGACTTCCTCTTCTTCAAACAACTCTTATCTTCCTCTTCTGCATTTCCAGAGCTTCACTGGGTASGCCCTTGAGCTTTCCTGTTGCCCTGTGTCTTCTGGGAATGTCCGTTTATATATCCGCTTTACAGTGTTGTTTACATCTCACGGCATCCATTAGTATGGAAAGATGCCCTCTACTGCACGGTGAAGTCCTAGACAGGAAAGAAGTCATATGTGAATATACTTTATTAGATAAAACAGATTGCAAACAGGCACAAAACCACAGAGCTGATGTGTGCATGAAACACCCTCAGTTTTGTTCTTACGTTTCTCACCTCATATATGTTGTTAAATTCTGTACTTCAAGGTGCAAGCTTGCAGTATGAAGTCTGAGAAGACTTTCTTTCACTGTTCAGTAGAATATGTGCAGACTGTTTTTCTTCCTGGAAATTCTACCATAAAAAGCAGCTGCTTAAGAATCTGTATACATTTTTTTTTAACAAGATTTACAATATGATACAAAATGTAAAATTTCATGATCTGTGAAAATAAATGCTACCAGAATTGTATCTAGATAATTAAAAGATGCTTTAGGAGTTGAATAGGGCCATCATATTTTCTTCCCCCCCTTAATAATACAATATTATTAAGTCTCCTTTTTCTAAATAAGAGAAGCCATTTTAAAAGATGCAAGAACTGGAAAACTATATCTGCAATGAATTAATTTTCTGTGGAATGACAAATTTGACATAATGAAGAACTCATTATCTTTAAAACATTTTTTTTCTTTTTTTTTTCTTTTTTTTTTTGCAGGCCCTCTTGTAGTTGGGAAATAATGAGGGGATTGTTTTACAGGTGGTCTACTTGCTGTCTCCTCACTTTGATATGTGCATGCTGCTCACATAATGGGACAACAATAGCTAACACCTCAAGAAGAGGAGTATAATCCCATTTTACAGTTTTATTTTCCTACAGCTTTATTTTCCTGCCTAGTTCTTAGGCAGGAAATTCTGTATCTTAGATACAGAAATTCAGTATAATTACCTTAAGAATACTACTACCTAAGACTACTAGCTAGCCTTTTTTCTCTTTTCTTTCCCACTATCCTGAGCAGCTACAGCATTTATTTGAGGAAATAAATACTTTAGGAATGACAAAAATGAAAAGGTCTTCGTCCTTTTAATGAAATGAAAAATACCTATCCGGCACCGTGCTTTAATATAAAACATGCAGTAGTGTATTAGATCCGTAACATTAAGGTGCTGGAAAAGCAGAGTTTGCCATTTTTTTGCTTGCTTAATGTTTATCAACTGCCAGTCACAGCCTCTGTGTGTATTAGCATAAGAAAAGCTGAGACCTTTTGGAAACTTAAGGTAACAGAATGAGAGTTTTGGGGCTAAATAGTTTTTTTTTTTTAATAGTTTTTAAATTTGAAATTGTTTTTGGACAGAAAACCCTCAGTTTCCTCATATGGGAGAAATTATTGATGGAGTGGACATGAGAGCAGAAGTTGGAGTCCTTACAAGGAATATCTTAATCAAAGGAGAGACAGAAAATACATGTTACCGTGAAAAGGAGTGCCAGTTTTTCAACTATGATACATTTGGTGGGCATATTAAGGTATGAAAAAGATATAAAAATTGCTTTCTCTAACCTAAGTGCATGTTGAGGACAAAGCGCTAAACTGGAAGGATTTCAAAATGTAGATATGATTAATTTAAATAGCTACTTTGCCTCAAAGACTCTCTTCTCAGCTTTTTAAAGTCAGGTATAACTCACCAGGATTTAGATTGAAGAGCTGGGAAAAGAGGATGCCCCAGAATCATAGAATGGTTGAGGTTGGAAGGGACCTCTAGAGATTATCTAGTCCAACCCCTTGCTCCAGCAGGGGCTGGACTGATATCTAAATCCTAGAATTCTGCCTCAAGTCCTCAGGATGCCTCTAAAAGGCAGGCAGTGGAAAGGAATAATAACTAGCTATGAGTTGGAACACTTCTTCCTCTCTTCTTCTCTCCTCCCTTACTCCCCCTCTAACCCAAAGTACTAAGATTATCATATAGAAGTATATGGGCTCGTTATTCACAGTGAAGTATGAAACCTTGTATTTTAAATGCAAATTTATTTGTGATTGTTATGTGTTGGTCACAGTTTAAATCTTGAAACATTGGGATTCAGATTTTAGGTCTGGAGTTGAATATAATGTGGGAAAGCCCTTTCCCTTTTGTGGCCTCTTTTGTTTTGCAGAAGGGAAGTGGAGTGGGCTGGAAGCATGCTTTGTGTTTGAGATAATGTAATGAAAGCAGATAAGGACAAACTGTGAATCTTGCATAGCCTGACCTTGGTTGCCACAATGGGGCAAGTAAAGCAGGCATATCGGATGGCTGGAAAATGGAACAGAAAACAAACATTTTGAGTCATCAGTGGTTAAATTGTTCCCACGAGCCTATTCAAAATTGTTGGGTGTCTGTTGCCCAACCTAGACTTTAGCACTAAGGGCATTTTTTACCTTTTCTTAGTCTTATGTGCTCAGGCAGGGAATGCTAGGCATTAGCAAATATTCATGGCCTCAGGGGTTTTAATCAACCAGAGATTTCTACTAGTCATGGGGACAGTAGCATAAAGGAGATTTAGTGGCAATGAGTAATGAGACATTCGTAGCTTTACCGCTTCTTTAGTGTTCTTAAATGCTAAGAGTTGGTCTCAAAGGAATGTCTGGATTTTGACCATCCAATTGCATTTTAAGTACACAAAGCTGAGCTGTAGGGTTGAAAAATCCCAAATGTCCCTCTACTATATTACTAGCCTCTTGATTTGCTGCCTGAATATCACTGTTGCATTTGTTTTCTATTTTCTTATTAAGTCAGATGAAATGGAAACACATATTTGTGCTTTCGCCATTATTGGCACAATCTCATTATCTTAATTTCTCTATTGCTTAGTATTTTTGTTTCCTATTAGTAATTATACAGTGCATAATTCTGAAGGCAATTTCATGTTTTTCTTAGCAAAGAAGCTCCTCTTTGAGGTCAAATTCCAACATCCATTTGAATCAATATTAATATGAGTTGTCACTGAAAAGGAGTGAGATGCAGAGGCTGGTGGAGGCCTCTTCATATCATCTCTTTCAATGATGGTATGAACCATGTCTGTGTTGGTTTAAAGTGTGTATGAAATTACAGCTTATAATATGGGTTTCTTTTTCGATATTGTGTGGTGATCCCATTGTAGGAAGCTGGTTACTTCTCCGTTTTGGTATGTGAGGCAGTTTTGATGGAGAGTTCTTATTTCTTTCTTAGTTCTGTTTTAAGAGATGAATATCATGAGCCCTGCTTAAAAAAGCATCCAGATAAGCAGTCTCACCTCAGAATGTGAGCTATTTGTTAATTCTGGCTCTCCAGTTTGTAAGCATCAACACTTGGCATTCTCAACTCTGTAAGGTGGATGGAAAGTCAGGTAAGGAGTTGGGATCAAAAGGTTGTGACAGTAGTATCAAGACCAGCTAGTAGCTAGCCCCTAGTGACATCTCTGAGGATTCAGTTGTGAAGCCAGGACTGTTTAGCATCTTTGTTTAAATGGTTTGGGTGATGGTGTGAGGTGTGTCTTCAGCAAGCTCACAGATGATACTGAGTTCAAAGAAATACTTGGCCCAGTGCTTGGAGCTGCTTTTCAGAGGGGCCTGTCTTGGCTGGAGAAAAGGGCTGACAGGAACCTCAAGAAGTTCACCAAAGGCAAATGAGAGGTCCTGCATCAGGGATGGAGTAATACGATGCAAAGGCATGGAGGGTGGCAGAGCCTTTTGTGCGAGAAGTTGACCATGAGACAGCAATGTGCCCTTGTGGCATAGGCCAGCAACGTCTTGCATGCTGTGTTAGCACAAATGCAGCCAGCAGGACCAGGGAAGAACTCTTCACCTCTGTTTGTTGTTTGAGATACCACCTCTGGAGTATCATGTCTGGTTTTGGACTCCTCTGGCCAAAGGAGACTTGGATATGCTTTGTGAAAGTGCACAGTGATGGGACATCACCGTCCCATCAGCTGGAACCAAAGGGTAACGAGGCAATTTCTTGTTAGCAATCAGGAAAATAAGAGAGAGGAACCAGTTGATGTCATGTGAAAATCTGTGTCATCAGAGTTCTCCCTTGTTAGTGCGGTGAGCAAGCTTCTGTAAACTGACCTCTGTTGAGCCAGTGATAGGACGAGGTGGCACTGAGAGGCTTCTTTAGTCTGTGTTATTCTGTGATTCTGTTCAACTAAGCCTGTTCCAGACTGATTTAGGAACACTGGTATAGCTTCATGGTGGATGAGCCTTAAGTGTGTGCATTATGTGCACACACACAAGTGTGTGCTTAAGTGTCTGCTTATGTGCATGAAACATCATTTTACATGAAGAATATTGAACATATCAGCTGGTGAAGGCCAAACAGTGTAATATCTGGGAAGATTTGGCCTGTTTTAGCTGTACATGAATTTTGCTTTTACTCTTGATCATGATGGGTACCGATTCATAAATTGGGATTTAGAACAAGAAACTCATGATTGTTACAGCTAGTCCTGCTGGTGTTGCCCCATGATACCTGTCCATATCTGGCAGAAGCATCATGCATCAGCTGAAAATTCCACTGATTAAAATGTAAGTATTTCGTTACTCATTCTGGACATCTCATTATGCTTTTAGATTCTGAAGAATTTTACATCTGTTCATCTCTCTTATGTGGAGCTGAAGCAAATGGGGCAGCAAGAGATTGGAAGTTACCCTGTTCACTTTCACCTATGTGGCGATGTGGATGAAAAAGGAGGTTACAATTTTAAGACTTATCTGGAAGGTCTTTCCATTCATCACTGTTTCTCCAGATGTGTGACTATTCATGCAACTAATGGCTTGCTGGTAGGTGCCAGTATAATAAAGCTATACCATGTTGAGGTAAATACTAAAAAGAGTATTTAGAGCAAAAAAGTCTTCTTCCTTCTTCTAGTTGAAATGCTCAGCAGTGTGTATTTTACGGCAGTGAATAAACAAACAAGTGCCAACAGTAACTTTCTTTCTAACAGATCTTGCTGTTCTGGTGTTTTTTTTTTTTTTTTTTTTTTTTCCTCCCCTCCATATCCTTGCAGGCAGCTAAGCTCTCCACACGTAGTGGTATATTTGTAAGGAATAAATAAAACTTCATGTTTGAATCATCTGAACTGCTGATCCTGAAGCTTTGTTTGCAGCTGTGCCAACATAGTAAAACTAAATGGCCCTTGTCAAATAAATCCCAGTCAATGCTATTGCTAATGACATAATGAACTTGTATTTCTGCAGATAAAGGACACCATTGGCTATGACACACTAGGTCACTGTTTCTTCATAGAAGATGGCATTGAACAGAGGAATACTCTGTTCCACAACCTTGGACTAGTCACCAAGCCAGGCACTCTTCTTCCTACAGATAGAAACAGCAGCATGTGTATTGCCATTAGAGATAAAGTGTATGGAAGTTATGTCCCCGTGCCAGCCACAGACTGCATGTGAGTATTTCCTGGTGAAAAAGAAAACAGAGCCAAACTGTTTGTGGTAGTTAAAGTAAGACTTTTTTATGCATAAACTTCCCTAAGTGTAATTCACATAGCACTGTTTAGAAAAAATTTAATCTTGTAGAAAGCTTGTTATTTCTTGTGATAGAGGTTCAAAAGACTTCTATCTTAAATGCAGTCTTATGCAGTCAATAATAAAGACTGCATCTTTATTTCTGTGCAAAGGGCTCCACTTTCTCGTATTGTTCCCACTAGTTTTTCTTCATAGTGTTAATCGCTTTTAGAGGGCCGCTGAACAGTTTACCACTGCACTGAGAATTTTAGATGTTTTAAAATACTGTGTATTGAACTAAAAAAGAAGCATTTCCATGACTACTTTTAATGACTATGCATGTGGCATTTTTCTTCATATGTAAACTAGTGAACTTAGATATCAGATTAACTTTTTTTTTAATGTGTTTGATATTTCAGTAAGGGACCTAGAGCTTCTAAATAATAGTTTGTTTTCGAATAATATTTTAGGGCAGTCTCAACCTACTGGATTTCTCATCCGAACAATCATCTCATAAATAATGCGGCTGCAGGTTCACAGGTGAGACAAATGGATGTACTTCAGCACAAACAACCCATTGCCCTGATGTTCACAAAATGTGCACAAAAAAAATAGATATGAACCTCTTCGTATGTGTGGTAGCACAGTATCATTATAAGTGCTGATTTTTAATTTTGTCTAAATATTCATTCACTTTGGAGATGTCTTCATCTTTGTGGTTTCTAGTCCTTATAATAGTGCATAGGTCTATATATGCACATGTGTGTGTGCGTGTGTGTGTGCTTGTTATATGTGGATATATGCATATATACATAAGTGTAACTTCTTTTATTCTGAAGAATTTAGTGCACTGCATTTTAACACTAAGGCTTCTATATATTCTGTAATTTCTGTCATGATTTTACCATCTGAATACTTTTAAAAGTTTGGCTTTATAGCTTCAGTCTTTAGACCAAAAGAAGTCCATGATACAATAACCAGTGTAGTTAAGACATGTTTTTMTTATTATTGACTTTGTCGTTAGTTATTTGGTTCTCAGCAGTGATTCTCCTGGTGCATTTCTAACTGCTGTGAACATAATTGTATATCTTTTGGCACATTACAGGTCATAGAATAGGGGTTGGAGTTTGTTAAGCTTTTAGATTGGATAAGAGAAAGATCATAGGATCATAGAATCATTATAGTTGGAAAAGACTGTTAAGATCATAGAGTCAAACTGTAAAGCCATCACCACCATGCCTGCTAAATTATGCCCCTGAGTGCCTCATCTACACGTTGCTTGAACATTGTCAGGGATGGTGACTTCCTGTCCCAAGGCTTCACCACTCTTTCTGTGCAGAAATTCTTCCTAATGTCTGACCTGAACCTCCCCTGGTGCAACTTGMTAGACATTTCCTACCAGTTTCCAACCAGGACCATTTCCTCTGGTCCTGTCAGTAGGTCCTCTGGTCCTCTGGTCCTGGAGCCTGATTCCTGCCTCCAACCTCTATAAATACAACCTCCTTTCAGCAATAAAGTCTCTGCTGAGCCTGCTTTTCTCCCGATTAAATAATCGGGAACAGCTCCCTCAGCTGTTCCTTTTATGGACTGAGCTCCAGCCCCCTCACCAGCTTTGTTGCCCTTCTGTGGACACACTCCAGCATCTCCATGTCCTTCCTGTAGTGAGGGGCTAAAAACCAAACCTAGCATTCAAGATGCAGACTCACCAGCTGAGTACACGGAAACGATGCCTTCTCTGGCCCTGCTGACCACACCGTTCCTGATAGAAGCAAGGAGGCCATTGGCCTTCTTGGCCACTTGGGAGCTCTGCTGGCTCATGTTCAGCCACCTGCCGACCAACACTTGCAGGATATACGTACCTTGATTTGAGTAGATTGTTTTGAAGCAATCAGTGTGAACAGAATAAAAGAAGGACTTTGTGGCGCAAACACTCATGTATAGAAGACAAAATATATGTGTTACTGTGGTGTTATGATTTAGGCATAGAATACATAAAAACGGAATTAATGGCGTAGGATTTGAAATATTGAAATGAGTTGAAATATCTGCAGTATAAAAAAAACTTACAAAGTTCTTATTTGGCTTCTGGTGAGTCCTTGTTTTCTATGGAGAAACTGTTTTTTTGGTTAACTGTCTACTGTTAGGAAGGATCTGGACAAACTTACAGAATCAAACCATTCATGTCTTTCCTACTCTTTTGTTGGCTTTGTGTAACATTCCTTTACTTGTTTCAATACTGCAAGGCAAGCACAGGAAACCGCTTGCATGCCTAAATCTTGCAAGGTCTTTTTATATCCTTGTGTCCTAGGGACTGTCACTTCCTTTTGTTATCTTGGTGTGTATGGGTTGAGTGAGCACTTGTGTAGGGTACAAAGTTTAGCAGTTCTGATGGTCATGCAGGTTAAGTTCACAAACCAGCCTTGGATGGACATAATTGCATTAGTATAAAAGGGCTACAGCTTGTTATGTTTCAGAAACAGAATATTGCTATAAAATGTTGCAAATTACATCGTTGGTCTGTAAATTAAACAGTAAAGCCTATTGTAAGGCTTTATCAGCAGAAAATACCATTCTTTTATTTGAGCTATATACGAGATACATTTCTGTTTCTTAAAAATAACATTCATTTTTCAGAATACTTGTGCATACTTAAGGAACTTTTTGGTTTCCGCATTAACTTTATTTATTTATTTATTTTTAACAAGCAGCAAGTTATGTTTTGGGTGGAAAGCAGCTTACTTTGGCCAAGCACGGAACTGTGTTTAATTATCTATGAAGTAAGATTTTGGTATTTTACTAGTGAAACATCCACATTTTCCTTGCATTGTTTACAATCAGAAATTTTGAGTTGTGCCATCATTATAGATGGGAAGCAGAGTATCTCGGTGTGTTTAGAGAACGAGTACGGTCTGTCAGAATGAAATTTACCAGTTATTTTTTAGCAAGACTAAGATTTAAAAGTGATTTGTTTTTTTTTTTTTTTCAGTGTTTCTTCAACAGTGGTGAGGATGAAACGTCTCTCCCTATCCTATAGAGTACTCAATATACACCTTTTTGTATATTGAGTATATTTCTGTAACCTTCTAGTACTCCCTATTTTAAGTTTTACCTTTAAATTTATAAGAGTACAGAGCAGGTAGCTGTGCAATATCTTTTCATCCTTGTAGATGTTTGCTGTACTGGCACAGTCCCCGTGACACTTCTAGTAAGCCCACGTGTAACAATCCCACGTCTCTTTGGTCTTAGCAGATAAAGTAGCCTCTTCAGGAGCTGAAGTGTTGAGAAAGTGGAGAATATGAGCAGACATTGAAATTGTTATTGCATATTATTGGCACAGTGCTCTGAACTGGCCAGACTACTCAACTACTCAAGATGCTTTTTTTTTTTTTTTTTTTTTTTTTTTCTCTTTTCCCTAAAAATTCTTGTGTTCTTTTTTTTTTCCTCCCTTTTTGGCCATGTCACTAAATTCTGATGTGAGCAGAAATGAACAAACCTTAGTCAGACTATATTAGTAAGAGGAAAGAAGGGGAATTTTGAATATTACATAGTAACTTGCATCATTTATTAGTAACAAAAGGAAACCATGTAGAAGTGTAATTCAAATGCAAAAATTACACAAACTCCTAATACTTTTTTTTAGTTTTACTTTTCTTGTAATCTGATATATTAGAGGGTGTGTGTGTGTGTGTGTGTGTGTGTGTATATGTATATATATAGTGCTGTCTAGTTTCACTGAAAAGCAAAACATTTCTTATAAAACATTGTTCTCTACAATACAGACTTATTTGAAAATTTTTACTTTCTTATCAAACAGTTGTTCAGAGAATTTATTTTGAAGACTGCCTTCCACTGTGAAAAGTTAATTTTGTCTTTGTTTGTATATGCGGCCTTACTTAAAGTATCCCAACTCAATTTAATACACAATTTGCTTGTGTTTAGAAGTACTGTGGTATCAGACTCTCTTATAAGGGATGCTATTCTCTCCTTATTTGCAGGATGCCGGAATATGGTATTTGTTTCACAAGATTGCTACAGGAGATTCTTATGGTTCAGCTGTTGAAACTAAGTCAGAACTTACACCTCTAGGAATCTTCTACAACAACAGAGTTCATTCTAATTTTAAGGTAATGCACTATATCATAAATAAAGAACTTTATTGACCTGCACGTTTCCATTTAGATATTGCTGGACAATTTACAAAAGTATGTGAGTGATTTCTTCCAGTGTTTTACTTCAAATGCTTACTGTTTTAAATATTCTCTTTGAGCAGTAACATCTAAAGTCAACTAATCCTTATAGTGAAATACACTCTATCTGCAATAGCATTTTCAGATTATACTCAGTTTTCTTGGTGGCATTGTTTCCTGCTTTGGAGAAAGCTGATCCCTGAGGAGGTTTATTACAGTTGTGATTCATAGAACAGCTGTGACGTGTTTTCCTGGAATCTTTCCCATACACTAACTCAGGTGTTTCTATGTGGTGACACAGCTTGGCTAGAGATTACCCTTCCGGTTGACTTTGCAAATTCACCTATTGGCAATAATTATGTTAGAGGTTTCTCACTCTAGGTACAAGCTTTCCCTGTTAATTCATTAAAGTTATATCTTTCCTACATTCTGCTAGAGGAGTTAGTTCAAATCCTTTAACTGCTGCTTTCACTTGGAAGATAGCTGCTACTTATATATATATCAAAAAGACTGATTTGACTCGTTACCTCAGCCATGTAATTGTCAAAACTGTAGTTGCACTGTTTTATGGAAGTTAAGCACTCTCTCTGCGTGAGACTCTAGAGCTGTTTCTTACACTGGAATTAAAATGTATTGAAGGCAAAAGTGCATTCCAAAGGGAAAATTATTTCATATTAAATTACTGAGCTTCAACTTGATGATTATGATTACCTGAGTGAAAGTAAGGTCTAGTAGTGAAGGTGACAGAGTTTTACACTAAAGACAGAACAATCATGCACAGTCAGTTTTCTGTTTCTTTGTTTGTGATTTTTTGCTTGTTTGTTTTCGCTTTCATTGATGACACTTGTGAAAATATTTTGAATTCACCCCAAGATTGCTTTCCATATTGTCCAAAAAAGCATGTGGAAGAAAATGAAAATCCTCAGTCAGATGATGTGAAAGGAATTTAGGGTGAAATTTAATGATTTTTCAGGAATAGGGTGTGTGGGTTTTTTGGTTTATTTGTTTTAGTTTTTTAATGCCATCAAGTTTCTCTCTTCCTCTAYCTTTAGCACCGATAATATATTCGTTTTTAGAAAATTCTAGCTAAGTCCATTGGAAGGTCAGAGAGTATGCCATACAGTGTATTGAATACTTTGTAACTTTTTAATTTTAAGAATCTAATGCTTATATGTTCTGCTGAAGATAACTAGGTAAAAGCCTTCAGTACTTGATTACATTAAATATTTATCCTTGTTTCTTTCAGGCTGGTTTGTTCATTGATAAGGGTGTTAAAACAACTAATGCTAGTGTAGATGATCCCAGAGAATACCTGTGCTTGGACAACAATGCAAGGTAAAGGAGATTCTCTGTCAAATCTGTTTAAAAAAAGAAAATTGTACATTCACGTGAGGAAAAACATTTTCTAAATATTATAAATAATAATAGAAAAATAAGGTCACACAACAAAGCATGATGAGCTTTAAAGAGATGACAGTTTCTGCTTGGCCCTTGACCAAGATGGTTTTCAGTCTTTTTAGAAATTCATTTTAACCATGCTCTGTTTCAAGGTCAAAGTATTTTCAGGTAGTGCTGCTAAATGTAAAGGTTTATTTTAAAACCTATTTTTCTGGTTTATGGTGCAGTCTTAAAAACTTATTTTTAAAAAAGGCTTAAAAGTAGTAAGTAGGACACACACGTTCCTATTGTATGTTCCCGACATACCTCCTAGAGCTGTAGTTCATAGTTCAGTGTGAGTTTTTACTGGAAATTGAAATAGTGTAAATCAAAAACATTGAGAAATGATGAGACAGGGAGAAACAACAGTGAGAGGTCTAGGAAATTTCAAATTTACCTTGTGTTTGATTAGTCTTCTCCTGAACTTCAAGTAAAATATCTTTCATATGTGAGCAGATGTCAAATTAAGAGACTTAAAACTAAAAATATAGCTTAGGAAGATGACTGTATTGGTTGCTGTACTCCTTGCTTGGATGTAATGACATGAGGCCACAAATCATTGTACATGGAGTCATAGTGGAGGAATTTAAATATTAATTAAGGATCTGGACACCGTCAACATTCCCTACTTCTTCCCTACTGCTTCCAGAGACAGAGATCATGGTAGAGCAGATCCYAGACGGAATGCGAAATGAATAGGTCTCAGTCATAAATTGCCCTTTGAGACCATGTTATTGACTCTATGGGGTACTCAACTGAAATACAGGACTGTTTCAGATGTGCTTACAGGAGAAGCACTCCTCAAGACCACATGAGTTTGAAGGAAGAGTCTGACAGACCATCCAGTCTTTCCTTACCTAGCACATGACAACCTTGTGCAGCTTGCTGAGGAGTTTTAATTCCGTCTGTCAGACTCATGTTAATGCTGTAATAATATTAAGTAGAAGTGGGGAAGGGAGAAAAAGCAGAGGCTAAAAGGAAGGTGAGGTGCAGCCGAAGAAATGGAGGGAGGTTGAGCCAAGGGGCTGAAGAGTTCTGAGGAAAAGAAGCATTCACTTAGGGAGGTCTACATGAACACTCTTCTAGAAATGGAGAGCTATGCGTGCGCTTGGTTTTGGTGTTTCTCACCTCCACACATGCAGTCGATTTTACCTCTCAGATCACTGTATGTATGTATGTATGTATGTATGTTTAGCTTTCAGGCTTTCTCAGCCCTAGAGATACAACACAAATAAAACAAACAGAACTTTTATTCTAAGCATTTGGCTTTTCTGCCCCAGGTTCCGACCTCACCAGGATGCAGACCCTGAAAAGCCGCGAGTTGCTGCCTTGATTGATAGATTGATCTCTTTCAAAAACAACGATCACGGGGCCTGGGTCAGGGGAGGCGATATCCTCATTCAGAACTCAGGGTGGGTAGTCACTAATAAACACCTGCATTTGGGTAAACAGTTTCTCCAAATTTCTCCAGTTATGACAATGTTTTATTGCAACAGCATTGTAAGTGAGGACTGGTGCTTAACTCTGGGAACTTYTCAGTATCCTCCACTACTTTCACAATATCCTACTACTTTAGATGAAACAAGCTGTACATGGTTAAATGCAAACCTGCCTTAAATGGAAGCAAAACATTTCCATAGTAGAAAAGGAGGAGTCCAAAAAGTTGATTAAGAACATATGTTTTTACTGAGATTTTTATGGCTTCTCTGAAGCTATTGTATTTCCACTTAAATATATATAAAAGATTACCTGATATTTTTTAACATCAGCATTTTTGTAAGAGTTATTTATAAATGTGGGAGGTTTCTAAATTTCATTAGTAGAAGAACTCAAGCTTTCTGCCATTCAAAACAGAATGTGCTATTACATTAGTTTATGGAAGTATAATTCATAAAATATTACTTGAAGCTTGATTTGAAAAACTTTCTTTTAGGTTTGCAGACAATGGAATAGGCTTGACATTTGCTAGGTGAGTATTTTGTATTTCTCACTTGTGTTTTACTTTTTTAAAAGTTTAGAAAATACAAATCTTTCTATCAAAAGTAATAGGTATATCASCATAAAGATGTAGTTTCATTTTTGGGCCCAGGTCTATTTCCAGTGGTGCAAAATATTGTTAAGGCTGTAAGTTGACTTGTTCTTTAATTCAACATATGCTGACTTTAGATCACTATTTGCTGTGTTTTCCCCAAAGAAGTTATTATTATCCCAGTGTTTCTGGTGTAGCATGTCTTCTTAGGCAGATTTGATCTTCTCCCTGAAGAACTGAGTATCTAAAAAGGAAGGGGATTATTTCTTCACATGAGCAGAATCATTTTAGTACAAGAAAATTAAGTGACTTTGGTAGAATGCCAAAATTATTGTCAGTTTGAGTAATAACAAATAGGGTCTAGAATTGTGGCTGTGGGTTCTGAAAGCACATGACTACAAGACTGGACAAGAAAATGCCCAGCTCTTTGTGCATGTATTTAACCATTTAAATAATTGGTCTACAATATTCTTATTAATAAAATTAATGCTTTATGTATTGTAAAGGAAGTGTATTATATTTTGCTTTATGAAAACCATTGTAAAAAAAGAAATAGTACTGTGGCTTGGTGTTTCCATCTGCTGGAGGACATTAACTAAAAGCTCATCTCTGAAATTACTTTGATAGTGATGGGAGCTTCCCAAATGATGAAGGTGCCAGCCAGGAGGTATCTGAGTCTCTGTTTGTAGGTGAGAGCAAGAATTATGGGGTTCCTGGTGGCCAAAATAAATACTGGGGAACTGGAGGAATAGACAATAAAACACGTACTCTGCCAAGGAATCGGTAAGTATTTTATGACTGAAATAAGTAATGCCTCAGAAATTATCTTTGTATAAGATATAAGCACTTTTCTTGCATGGTCTGTAGGATATAACGTCTGTTTAGGTGACAAAATGTTTAATACTTTGCATGAGAGGTGTGTCTCTCTTGTCCCTTTACAAACTGTTTCGATTTTCTGCCACYAGAAGATTTTCTTAAAAATGTAAGATATTCTAGTAATGAAAGCCTAGTCTTTTAAAACATTTGGGTCTGGAAGAAAGGAAGAACAAACTTGAGCTGAAGGGAATTCTAGGAACATTTAGTGACTATAGACTAAATCTGTCTGTGACAGTGATACTTTTTTTTCCTCTAGCTGATGCGATGCTTGCTTAAGATAATGCCAAGTCCTAACCATTGCCCTGGAGGTGAAAACTAGGTCTAAAAACAGACTTATCCATTTGTGATGGCTTACTAATGAGAGAAATGAATGGTGGTTCATGCAGTACTTGGGCTCATCAAGCAAGTGGTAGTATTTTCACGTGATGTTTGACCTCTGGGAAAAGAATGRATTTGCAGATGGACTGTAACTGCTCTGTCTTCTAAAAAGAAGATTCAGAGAGTCGAGTCTTGGGAGTGAGAGTTTTATAGATAGTCTAGAAATAGATTTTCCTTCACAAAGACTCGATCTATGAGTCATTGTCTTCATGTTGCTTTCTTGATGCTTGAGTGGGAGAAAACCTATTTCTGACACCAGCTGAACCTTGTCCTGTTGTTACAGGATCCTACTTAATACAAGTGATATTTAATGTACTTTTAACAGGACATTTCCAATCAGAGGTTTTCAGATTTATGATGGACCTATTCATCTAACCAAATGCACATTCAAAAACTTTGTGCCAACTCCAGACAGATTTACCAGTGCGGTTGGTTTCTTGATGAAGAACACATGGCAGATGACACCTAAAAACAATATTTCTCTGGTGAAGTTTGGTTCAAATGTAAGTTTTTCACAAGTTGTCTTTTATTACTAAAAGAGATAAAACTTTCTTCTCATGTATATTTGTCATCTAAGATCTCCAAGTCACCTTTTCCTTAAATCCTATTCTGGAATTTATATCTTTTGATACTCCAGGTGTCATTTGTTCCTTGAACAAAAGTGTGGTTTTTTTGAGATGGAGAGTGTGTTGCAATAAAGATGATCTGAACAAAAGACCTGACTTGAGCTTACTACTTAAAAAAGATTAAAATCTCCTTGCAAGATTGTACTACCTTTGCCAGAAAGTTTTTAATCATCTCTGTAAAATTCCCCAATTTCTGGAATTGTGCAAGTGTTTGTTTGTGCCTCACCTAGCAATAATTTAATTATCTGAATTTTTATTACCAGGTTTCTCTGAAGGTCTTCTTTGGAAGACCTGGTCCATGGTTTGAAGATGGAGACCTGGATGGTGACAAGACATCAATATTCCATGATCTAGATGGTTCAGTGACTGATTACAAGGATACCTATGTTGGCAGAATGGATAATTACCTGATTCAGCACCCCAAATGTATTAATAATACAGAATGGAATGGGGTTATTTGCAGTGGGACGTATGCTCAGGCTAGTATTGTGGCAACTTTCTACTTAAATCTATCTTTAGATTTTTARAAAATCTACAGGTATCTTTAAAGTATTTCAACTACTTTTTATGTGTATTATGTGTTTTTAGGCAAGTTCTGTAGTTTGCATAACTCTCACTATGTTAACCAAGTACAATACTAAGTACAGCAAGGTAAAGACAAATGTTTATGCTGTGAGTTTACTTGCTGTAAGTTCCATGTTGTAGTCCTATCTGCTAAGACATGTTTTATTGGAGACTTTCTTCCACTGGAGTACAGTCTTCATCTTATTTTTTTTTCTTGATTTTGCTTTTTTTTTTTTTTTTTTTTTTTGCTTCACATTAGGTATTAATTTGGCTGAGCACTTTAATTGATTCTATACCTTTTTTTTCCCCATCCCCTTTTTTAGTCTGTAAAATGGACAAAGTCTATGGTCTTTTTACAAACAGTTCTTAAAAGAAGAGTTCTGTTTTGGTCCTGTATGGCTGAGAACCTAAAAATATAGCAGCTTTATGTGAAATCCTTCACATTTCTACTTTTTTTTCTTTTTAAATACTGATTAGAAGATTGTGTCCAAATCCTTCCTCTTTTCTTCTCCTTTAATATCCTATAGGTGTATGTCCAAACATGGAACGGGCAGAACCTGTCAATGACCATTGTGCGAGATGAATACCCATCCAATCCAATGGTTCTCAGAGGCATCAACCAGAGAGCAGTCTACCAACAATACCAGCCAGTAGTGATGCTTCAAAAGGGCTACACAATACATTGGAATGGGAAGGCTCCAAATGTCACTTACCTTTATCTCATTAACTTCAACAAGTATGTTTCTTTTGTTTATTATTGTCATTTTGTAAAGCAACGTTGAAGTAATGCAGGAAATTTGTCAGCCATAAGGGAAAATGCATATAAGCTTTTGCTACATATATTAAAATGTGAAAAGCCTGAGTTTAAACAGCAGACTTGCACCTAAGACTCAATAGTGTCTCTAACGAAAATCTTTTGGAGACGAAAAAGTATCAAGTACTGCAGTTGCATGGAGCAGGAGGTGACTGGTTTACTACTATTTATACTAATATAACATAAATATATATATTTAAGTATCTGAAGTTTAAAATCAAATGTATTTTAAGGCTATCAAATGTACTATAGTATTTAATGAAATAATTTGTGCAGAGAGGAAGAAAGATCTGGTTTGAAGATATGGGGGGAATTTCTGTATCCCCGTTGCTTAGTTTTAAGTCATCCGTTTGCTGCACATTTGCATCTGATCCATTCCTATGGTGAGTCATATGTTTGATTTTTAATTTCAGGAATGATTGGATTCGTGTTGGCCTTTGTTATCAACCAAATATGGATTTTATAATATCATTAGAAACCTTTCATAGACAGTCATCTGCTCTGTGGAACAAGACAGACCATTATACACCCACATCTTCAATGATGGAGCTGGAGAAGAACCGCTCGGACAAGAAGTTTTATTTTGACAGCAGTACAGGGTAACTCCTAGTAGCTTGCCCCTATAGGAAGGCATGTTGTTTAACCTTAAAGTGGTCAGTTTGATACTATTAAAATTAATTCTAAGATATCCACGTAACTGGAAAGAGATTTTCAAAAGAGCCCAAATTATATGTGAAAGAATATTTTCCATGACTTCTAATTTCCAAAATACAGTGGTTGTCATTAAAATATTTTTCGGGGAATATGACAGTTGTCCAGCTATTTCCTGTCCCAAGTCTGGGGAAAACATGCAGGGTTCTGCAAAGCAGTGTCTTTCAGGAAGAAATTCACTTACTTAACAGAATGTTTGTTTCCTCCTTTTAAATTTTCTAGAATTTTTCAGAAATGCTTGATTCCACAGACATTTTAAAGATAATATGTACTCATTTCTGAAAACAACACTTATTTTTAAGACTAATCTGAAGTACTTTAAAGCCTTAGTAACCCCTTCAGAAGAATTGGCTCTTGACACTTCTCAGAAAGGTATCAAAAGATTACTAGAAAATTTATACATGCATCACTTTAGTTCATAAAAATTAACACAGAGCTTTTTTTTCTCTTGCACATTTCTCTGTGCATCTGTGGCATGTGTCCTGGTGACTGCAGCTCTTTGAAAGTCATTAACGTTTCCTGTGTCTAAAAGCTTCCGTGATAACAATTAAACAAATAGTTACCAGTCTCCATGCTATGGGAACAATAATGACCACTTTCCCCAAAAGCCAGTTTTCAGGCATTTGCTTAACATGCAAAAATACAGTGACATTTTGCAGTGACAGTGAACATCCAAACAGTTGCTGAAGGGTATCTGCTGAGATCTGTGATCAAAGAAAACATTTGTGCTCTGCAGTTTGTTTTTTTTGTTTCTAGCAAGCCTGTTCGTGGAAGTGTCTCTTCTTTTCAGAACAGGTCTATTTGTAATAATGTCACTTATAGTTGTTGSGTTTTTCAGACATGGCCATAGAGTTTTCCTAATTCTAATAAAAACTGCAAATTAAATTTGAAATAACTTAAATAATTAAAGAGAAGTAAATGCTGATGTAAATACTGTTGTTTCCTACTTCTTAAAATCACGTAAGGTAGCTATTAAATGCTATGCACATGTAGCTTTCTAATAAATGATCTACTCTTTCTTCTTTTTTTTTTCCCCCCTTCTCCATCTTTGCATAGATTACTGTTTTTATTTCTTCAAGCCAAATATAATAGAGATGGTCACAGTTATTGCTCATCTCAGGGATGTGAAAGGATCAAGATTGTGACCAAAAATTCAGCAAAAGAGATCAGTAACTGCATGGCAAAAGCTTATCCAAAGTACTACCAAGGGCCAACTGCCATAAAGCAAATGCCAGTAAAAACTACTGTACCATGTACGAAGTGTGGTGCGACTCAGGTAAAATATATCTTTGGATTTACTTCCATGGCCAGAAACAAAAATAACAGCCTTGCTGATGATTAAGTGAATGCATTGTCTTTGAGCACAGATTATTTGAACAAGTTAAGCCTGATGTGATAAAGTGTTAGTGACATTTGCATCACATGTATGCTTAATTTTTTTCTTTTTTTTTTTTTTAAATCCAGAAGTTATTCACCAGTGATCCTCACAAAAACTACCTCCTCGTGCAGATTAATTCACCTGGTAAAACAGAGTTAAATGGAGGTCAGCGAGCATTTATTTTTGTAAGTAAGCACTAATGATTTTCTTCTAAAAAGTCTTTTCTTCAGCAGTATATATTACAGGAGTTCAGCTTGCATAATGCTGAGCTCACTTCACTCAGGTAATTGTTGGTTCGTAGTTTAGGAATATTTTTTTAAAGATTCTGAATTCCTCAATTACACCTTCAAATCCTTTGCTGATGAAAATAAAATTGTACTAGTATAGATGAGTTTAAAATCTGCGTGTTCCTCCTAAACACTGACTTGTTATGATCTTTTGCATGGCTACTTTTTCAAAAAAAGTTGGTTAAATTTTTGTGCTGACAAATTACTGACTTTAATGGGACAAATCCAAATGAGAAATATTAATTTTTGTTACACTTATTCAAAACTACAATTACAAAAGAATCCATAGAGATTTCTATATTTGTTCTGATGCTGTACTGCTGCACATATTGCTGTAGTATTGCACAAAACCTGTTTTACATTGTATTTTTTGTTTGTTTGGAAGCTGAAGGGAGCTTGTAAATGATGTTGAAAATAGAATTATCTTGGTTATTGTCTGTTATCCTCATACCACAAAGCTTGTGATTTACATCTTGCAATTAAATGTATTGTCTCAATTGAAGTAGTAAAACTTTGAATTATCTAGACAGAAATATTGATCATGTTAGCACAGCAATCTTGACACAGAAGTTACAAACTTAGAGGTCTTTTTTTTCACAATTTCGTAAGAAATAAGAGCTTTTCATGAGAAAAAAATAGGGCTAACACTGGGACTGCCTCAGAGACAGATCAGTTGAGCTTTTGCAAGAAGTGCAGGCAGTTCAGTACCTGAATATTAGCATCCCCAAACACGTGAACTTAGATCAGGCAGCAACACACCTGAAACATATGGTCTCCACATAAAAGCAGGGGATGCAGGACTCCCATGCAATTTCAGAAGTCCCACCATAAGTCTCTTCTCCAAGGGAAAATGAGAAGATGCTGTTGAGAAGCAAATGTTTTGAGGGGAGAATTGTATACCATTGCRTCTGAATGAGATAGCTTTGACTACAGTAGAATAGCAGTTGTATTCATAGGTAACTTTTTTAAAATTTATTTTTCCATCTCATTTTTCTCTCCTCCCATTCAGGTCAATGACACTATATTTTCTCTCAAGGATAACGGTATACTTGTTGTTGTAGTTGATGCCTGCATTGGCACAGTATCAGGAAATAAATTATTTTCTGAAGTAGATGCTAAGCATGTAGRTGGATATTTAAAATCTGGAATTCCACAAAGGTACGTGTAATTATCATTTATCTATATAGTGTGTCCTGCAAGAAATCCTTGCTCCCTAACAAGAATTTAATTGAACATATTTATGTGGAAGAACTAAAAATTAACCAAACATATATRCATCGAGGGGAAAAAGAGAAAGACAGAAGCATTTTAACAGTGCTTCTGACTGTTTAACAGACTTAAATCTAACAGACTTAAGTCTAAAAGACTTAAATGACCTTATTAAGCTATTTTTTTAAGCTAAGAAGTGTTACTGTATGACATTTAATTAAATTTGCTCTTGATGTTGAGGATGAGCCACACATGAAAATTCTATGTGTTTCAGTTTAACTCCTTTATTTGAGAAAATCTGAAACTAACTAAAGCTCTGAACAATGTCACAAGATGTTATAGTGTTAGTGAGGGACTGGTCTCTGTCATCCAGGGGAAAAAAACTACTTATCATTAAACCCTTTTTAAACAAAGACAAAAAACTGACATCAGAAATTTAAGCTTTCTAATATTTTACTCTTGTTAATGTTTTCATGCTTTTTTTTTCATTAGGCAGACTAATCATGCATGCAAATGGTTTTGAAATTAATGTAAAAAATCAGTTTAGTTTTTTTAATAACTATTATTTCATAAAATAGATTATTTTCTAGGAATGCCTTTCCAGGGAATGTTATCTATATTCATGTATACTATTACCATGAGTATTATTAAGCAAGTCAATTACTAGGCCAACTAACTGTGAAAATATGCAATAAAGTGTTCAGAAAACCTAGTATCTTTACCACTGCCATATCTGCATTATTTCTGATGCAGGTCTATAGTTCTACTGAGCACAAGAGGTGACATAGACAGTCCTAATATATCAGGAGCCTTAATGTCCCTGGGGACAGCCAAACCACCTTACCTGCAGAGAAACGGTTAGTGAAGTTTTGCACATTTCTCTTCTCCTTAGACTTCCCCCAAAATGCCCAGATCCTCTGATTTTGTGCTTCAYCCAGCAGATTTGAAGGGTTTTGGCTCTATTGTTAAAAACTTCCTTGTGCCAATCCAGCACTTCCCATTCTAACAAAATTTGAATGTTGTGATTAAAAGCTGTTGATGTTTTAAGGCATGATTAGCTTTACAGACCACATGGGCTTGACCGTGCTCTGCTCAGGGTCCTGGCACAAATCCTGTATTGAGACAGCAAGCTCATAACTGTCATGCATGAAAAATGATTTTTTTAAAAATAGTATTTCCTAGTGTATTTCACGGGAAGCAGAGACTGGATTAGTGCACTAAGGAGTCCTGGGGGCAGAACATCACCGCAGCACATTACTTTCTTCCTGAGCTGTGTGTTGCACTTGCGTGGACTTGTCTGCTCTGTAATACCACACAGTGGTGGTTTTTTTTTTTTTTTTTTTTGGTCACAGGAAGCATGGCCTTTCTGGGCTTCAAAGGAAACTTTAAGCCATCCTGGGTTAAGCTGTTTACCAGTCCTGCTGGGCAAGGGCTAGTTCAGATAGAGAAGTATATCCCTTTGCAACTGGAAGAGTATGGCTGTGCCAGAGCTATGAAAAGCCGACGGAAAGACCTGGAGCTTCTAAAGAAGGCTACAAGAGCTCATTAAAGACTAGGATGTACATAAGTGCTGGGGGGAAAAAATGTGAACTAACTTATTTTTAATTTATGGCATTTTAAACTATATTTTTATCCAAGTAAATCATGTTATTGTTTGACAGACATTTGCCAACATTGACCGCTTGAATGCCAGTCTGTGCACCTTCTAGTTGTACAAAATGTTAAAGAGTTTATTAGTATGTGTATAAACAGGTTTCAGAGACTTTTTCAGATGTTTGTATTTACTGTAAACAAGTTTCTTCTGTTTAATACTTCTTTGTATTTAAGAGGGTGTTCAAAAAGCCTTAAAAGTTTTGATAACAGATATCAGAGTGCATCTTGGATTACTTGAAAGAGTAACATTAAAATCTGTCATTCTAACAGCTCAAATTGGTCATCTTAACTTAATCTGCCTTTTTTTCCTGCTACTTAAATGTTTTAAGAGGTCATTTAGCAATTGGCTCAGTTACATTCTTTACCTGCTTACCAAAATTAAAAAGCAGCTCCTTTTCTGCATGCTGCACAGGCTCAAARGGCTATAACTGTAGTAACACTCGTGCTTTGCTGAAGGAAAGATGGAGACGAGGGATATCCAGCCCAGGGCAGGGGTATGGAGTGTGCAGCAGAGATTACCAGGCCGTTTGCACCAGCACAGCATACGGAGTGAGGAAAGTCTGCAGCTCTCTAGGATCACTGCTTGCCACTCACCCCAAAACGTGCAGGAGCTTAAGAGTTACTCCGCAATTAGGCTGAGTATAAGGCTCAAATTTTRGGTACAGATTCATTTCAGCATTTTCTTTTTAAGCTTTTAAGCAGCAGGGCAAGGCCGAGAAAACATTTGTTATTTTCAGTTGTTATAAAGCTGAACTTCAGTGATTTTTTTTTTTCTAACTTTAAGTGAAGAGAGTACAAAGTGCTCCCATTCATTCAGTTAGTCATGTTATATATTTTACATTAACTTTGACTCTCTTAATATACTTAAATTGATATTCCTTGTAGGTTTTATATTAGAACTGTTTGGTTGTTTGGTTGTTTGACCTTTCTGGGTCAAACACATTTAGAAGAACTGAGGCAGAACTGCCTTTATATATGGGGATATAATCTTTGAAATTAAATTTCAGAGACTGTAAAGGTGCATTTCATAATAGGGTGCAATAGAGCTAATATGTAGCTATGGTTCTAACACAACTGACATAGTTCCTTTTCCTTACTTACTCTTCAGAGTTGCTTTGTCGTATGAATTTATGGAGTGGCTGTTGGAAATGAACTATACACTTCTCCAAAGAAATTGAAAACTTTTTTTTTAATTTACTTTTAAAGGGGATAATGCACAATAGCAAACCTATTATTGTGTTCAACTAAAATATGCTACCTCAGTGCTACAAATAAACTGCCTGTTTTAATATCTTTGTTCTTAAATGGGAGTTTAGGGGAAAGGAGCGCAACGTAAGGGTGAAGCTAAACAGATGACTGATTGACTGATGTTTTTTATTGTAAAACAAGCCAAATGGATGATTATGTATCTTGCAGTGGTTCTGATGCACAGTTCTGTTTCAATGTAAAAAAAAGCATTTTGTTAGAGAAGTGTGTGGTAAATCTTTAAGACTAGGTATAATATTTGTTAATCATGCAGGGCAATGGGATTTACTAATGGTCTGAATACAGTAGTGAAAGTATTTGTGAATTACAATGGTCTTAAGATTTCTGCTGTTATCTGCGAGTTGTGCTCAGTACAGAAGCTCAAAACACAAAATGGTCTTGGGCTTGTGAGGTAGGCCATTAGGTATGAGATGCAGCTATTTTAAGCCATCTTGCAAAAAATGTACTTTGAAATATCAAGATTATTCCTGTGTAAGAAATACTGAGATAAACAATTGGATATTCAGTTGAAATGTTATCTTTTGTGTAAATCTGAACACTTGATAAATAAATTTTTACATCTGACAAGGCAATAGAAGCTTCAACTAGTCTCTTCTTTTATTAAGTAGTTTTGGAATACGTATTTTTCTGAAGATTACAAGCCACTTTATTGCAAGCCACCAGCTACTTTTAACTGTGAATTTTATAGCCCAATTCTACTTAAATTTTGCCTTCAAATCACGCTGGGAGAAGAGCGCTTGGAAATGTTGATACAAATGCTTTGTACCATTTGAATGAGATGACATCTGGATATCATGATTTAGACATAGTTTCTCAGTAAATGTTCTTAGAACATGTAATGACTTCTTTTTWAAGTATAATTTATGATTTAGTGGCTTAAAAACTAAGTATTTCTTTTTGTGTGTGCAAGTTTTTAAGTAATAATGCTGTTATAGAACTGCTTGGAACAATTAGCAATTTAACTCTCTCATGCAGCATCTCCAGTGAAATTTCAACAGGAACGCTAGGATGGGTTCAGTTTTGTATATTTTGAGCAATTACCAGTCTTTGGATCTCAGAAGATTACATGCTGTCCATTAAATATCTGTGAACTTTAGCAGAAGATGGTGGTTTATTCCATCTGCAGGGTGTGAACTATGATTTAATAGTTTTCTTCCATTGCTAGTGCAAATGATGTGTGGCACATGTTTTCAGTAATAGTAGAAAACATCACAGTCTCTCATTATTTCTATTTCTGAGAAATGAGTCTATGATGAGCATCACTCACTAGCCTATACTGCACATTTCTGATTTTTAATGATCTTCTATAAATTTCCATATGGCAGTATGATTAATTTTTCTCTTCAGTACCCCTATATTGATAACAGATTCTTTTCTGTCCTGCACAGCAGTGAAACACAGAGAATGASAAGGTACCATTGTACATACTTATAAGAACCATAGCAGCATGAACACTTTACATTTGTTTTTTTTGTAACACCTAGCAAACAACCATAACGAACTCATGTCACAATCCAACAGATGGACGTGGATGGAACAAAACAAGCAAGGCTTCAAGAAAAACTTACTTGTAGTCTCTCCTTCCTAGGAGCCACCCATGCATTTTTCCTTTCCCCATTGCTTCCCTTTCTGGCCRTAAAGGCTGACAAGCTGCTCCAGTGAATTGTCTTATTCCATTAGGAAATTTTTTCCCTATGCTTTGCTGTCCATGGATTTTTTTTTTCTGATTATTTGTTCATCCTTCTCTATTAACTCTGTTTCCAAAAGATACTGGGGATTGGATTGTATCTCATGTTTTCCCACTTTTCCTGTCTGCTGTGCCAGACGTGGGTGTCCAAGTGAAATTCATCTCTTTTAACGAAGTCATTACCCAAAGTAGACTTCCTCCTTTAAAATTATGGTGTTCCAGTGACTCAGACTATAACAACATGTTCATCATGGGATAAATGCATGGAAATTGCTTTTGCAAATAAACATGCGGCATAGGGACCCTGCCCATATCAGACCAAAGTAATTAAAGGCACATAACGTTTATACAAATACTAATCTCCACTGCTGCCACTTGTTGAGTAACAGAGGGCCTTTTTTAACCAAACTTGAACTCAGAGGATGAGCTTAAGTTCTTTGATAGCTATTTTATTGAACAAACTTTATATGAACAAACTTACATGCTTTGCAGTCCAGGATATGTGATTAGAACAAATACTGATTTGAAGCTTAGAAATGTCAATACCCTCTCTTTATACAAATAAGCACCTGGGGGCTTGGGAGGTCCCTGTTCTTGTCCAGTTTCTTTTTTATTTTCCACAGTTAAGTCACCCTGTGTACTCTGTTTTTCTTTTCCCTAGGGCAGTCTTACGCAGACCCCATGACATCACTGTTAGTAATAACATAAAARGCATTTTCTAAAACCAGGCTAATAAATTAAATTCACGCTAATAAGCATATACCTTGCAATTACTGCTTATGCAAGTATTAAAACAGTCTGTTAAATGAACTGCGAAGTTTCTAGACATACATGTGTATAATATGTGGATGTGTAAATGACTATATTACATGCCATCTCTAAAGTAAAATATAAAATTACAAAAACAATTTTTGCATACAAATAGTTTCTCTGTTAGCCCATGGAAAAGCCCGATGGAGTAAAAGGCAATGTAAACTGCTAGGGATCCCTGAAGCTGTTCAAGTAGGTTGCATTTGGAGGACACCAGGACATGCAGAATTCAATGCTAGGCTCACTAGGGAGGCAAATGCTGTTTCGGGAAGCAGAGCACAATGCAAGCATGRGCCAAAATCGTCTTTTCTCACTGGCAAGTGGATCCTTTAAATGCTAAAAGCAAAACATGGACTCCCACCTGCAACTAACCAATTTCTAACCATCCAACTCTTAAAAAGACCCTCCGACATTCCATGTGTTGATTATAAATGTCAAGTGTCATTAGTGTTATCAAAAGGCTGAGAGAGCTGGGCCTGTTCAGCCTGGAGAAGAGGAGGCTGAGGGGGGACCTGATCAGCGTGTATAAAYACCTCAAGGGAGGCAGTGAGGAGGAGGGGSGCRGCCTCYTTTCAGTGGTGGRCAGSGAYAGGACTAGAGGAAATGGCTTCAAACTGAAGCATCGGAAGTTCCACAGGAACTTAAGGAAGCATTTCTTCACTGTGAGGGTGACAAAGCACTGGCACAGGCTGCCCAGGGAGGTTGTGGAGTCTCCTTCTTTGSATATCTTTAAAACCCGCTTGGATGCAGCCCTGTGCCACGTGCTCTAGGTGACCCTGCATGAGCAGGGGGCTTGGACTCRATGACCTCTRARGTCCCTTCCAACCTTCGGCATTCTATGATTCTATGATTCTATGAAAAGCTTTAAGCTATCAGAAACATGCTATTTGATAGGATATACTTGCTATATAAAAATATAAGGTCAGATGGAGTTTCTCATCAGGAACAGTTCAGGTGCAGGCAAATGTTTGGGCTGTGAGAAAAGTTCTGACAAGATACGTGTCTTCACACTTTTTAAAGACTTGTCATCCCACAAATGCGTAAGTCTGTGAGTAATCAGCTGCAAGAGTTTATGTTTACCAGAAGAGTGACTGAATGTTTCAAATTTTTCCTGAAAATTGTTGTAGAAATAATTCTGTAATTTTCTGTTTAAAGAGTATTTAATTCTTCTTTTCTCTTTCTAGTCTGTTAACTCTCAATTTAACTCTACTTTTTGTAAATCAARTTCCTTCTTAACAATCCAGAAACACAAGTAGATGCAAGGAACCACCACAGAAATTTTTCGAACATACACAAAACAACACCCTCTCTCATCAAAGTGGTAGGAAAGTGTGTTTTGCGTGTGTTCACTGCCCCTTTAACATGTTTATCATGGTAGCTGGCCTAGCATTGATACACTTTCAGTTTAATTTTACTCTGGTAGACAAATGAATCAGCTGTGCAGCTCCTGTCTACCAGACAGGGAGAAGCCAATTTTTTGTTAGAAAAACAATTCAGTCCAGATGCATATATATGTAGTACATCAAGAGCAAGATACCTAGATCTTCAGGGCTTTTTTTTTTTTTTTTTTAAATCTAAGACAGTAATCAAATATATAAATAGTTTCATTTCCAGTCAATCACAAAAGAGCTTAGGAAAGGAATTGCTGGGTATGCTGGCATGATTTTTTAAATAAAGTATGTCACAAACAGGAATTGGGTCTGGTGCAGGAAACAGTTCTTCCGTAAGAGGGGCAGGGAACAGAGTGTATTAGGCCAAGGCAGTGGCCAAGCAAACAAAACAAACAAGCAGCTACTGATTTCCTTCCTCTGTCATGCCACACCATAATTTATTGCAGAGCAGGGTTAGTCCAGCTCTCAGTACGTCTGTCACCTCTGATCCAGAGGTGTGCTCCTCCAAGCACCTCCTTCATGTTGGACAC